TATCGATGTGTCGATGGACTACATGCCGAAGGACAGAACAAGCTCTACTAGGCGCGCAAAGAATTCTGTGTGGCTTTAAAAATAATTTCTCCTTGAAGATGATTGGTTAATTATTTACGGTCAGATCATCTGGATGGCCTAGTTTGTTTGAATCTCAATCGATTCTCGATGTAGGAAGCTCTTGTTCAGTCCATTTAGGACGATGCAGGCCTTTAGAAAGCAACAGATTGGCTCTCCGCTGCGGTTTTGATATCTGTACGTTCGTGTTGATTTAGATTTCATGTTGAAAGCACTCTTAATCAAATAGTACAATTCATGATTCAACGAAAAGACGGTGAATTTAGTCTTCCTTGCCTCAAAAGGCATATAGGAGAGTTATTTGCTCTTATTTGAGCTACGATAAATTAAACCTCGTGGAAAGCTAGCTCTAGGACAGAATTATATCAAGGTTATCAGTGACAAGTAAAATCTATGGCTATGTTCTTGCGAATCCAGTCAGATATACTTATTTTTAATTATTACTTCGCTTCAGCTAGCAAAGCCCGTCATTGTAAAATCATGCGCGAATTATGTAGCATCGAAATGAAGTTTCTTTAACCTCGGCTCGAAGGGGTCTCGGAGAATAAATCGAACTTGCTGAAATTAAGTTCAATTTCTCGAACACTAAAGCGACAGCGTACGTGATGAGACTTGACAATACATTACCGCTGCTGGGCGCCTGGTTGAATTGATCGGCATGCCAGCCAACCATGCTGGGTTGTAAATAATGATTTCAATTTATGAATTGTTGGTCCATGTGGACGGATGTCACCCATAGGTAGCGTTCTGAGATACTGTAGGTTTAAACCATTTTGAAGTTTTATGTAGTTTATTTGGATCCACGAGCACAGCTAAAAAGAAAAGAAACGAAGATTTTCCAAAGAGCAACAGTGATGTGAGCTGAACTTTCATGAACTTCTGAAAGGCATTTCGCTTTTGCTATGATAAACATTTGCTTAAGAGAAAATTAAAAATATATGTTAGAAAAAAAAAAATTAAAAAATAAAAAAAACAGCTGAGGAGGGAAAAGGAAACTTCTTCATAAATGACTGAGAAATTTGCTGCCAGCTTCACTATCACTAAAAGTAAAATAGGTGATAACTTCATGGTCAGCTCGCTTTGTTAAATATATGTGACTTACCCATAACAAGATTGTTCTCTCGTTTTCTTTTATTTATAGCACTTAACTACGTGCCATTATCAAATATCGGTGCTAACTCAGTGAATAAAACGCCGAATATAACTGATAGCCTGACAGGAATTAATTTAAGCAAAATAATTTTTTTTTCTTATCACGAAACATTTTCACTGCTTAAAGAAGTCATAAGTATGATCCCCAAAATGTTGTGGTGGCAATTTCGTTTCCAATAATTATCACAGCGGTCATTCCGGACAAAGTACTTACTCGGGGGAAAAAAATAACGACTTAAAGAAATGGTTAGCTTTACAGCTTGAGGTTTAAAGACGTTTCCAGTTGAGAGCAGGTTTATCATTGTTTATGTAAAATAGTATAATGATTAAACGTCTGTTCTCACTCAGTAAGTAAAACGCTGAAAGTGATGGGTAGCCTGCCAGTAATTAATTCAAGCAAACGAATAATGCCGGTTTTTATATAGTATTTCGTAATAATGAAATATTTTAACATCATAAAAAGCACCTATTATGATCCCTAAACTGAATGTTGGGGTGGTATATTTATGTTTACAACATCATAACGGACATTCGAAACAGACTGAATACTCGGCTAAATACCAACTAACTAAATACTCCGGAATGGAATTAAAAAAATAAGTTTAAAATAAAATTAAAAAAACAGAACAAGAAGCAAAAAAAACAAAAAACAAAAAAAAAAAAAACAATACTACTACTACTACTAATAATGATATAATAATAATAATAATAGTTATAATGATGATGATGATGATGATGATGATAATAATAAAAAACAAAACAAAACGGGTGCTAATCCAGAGCAGTATTATCATTGTGTAAGATAAATGGTCCAGTTGAAAAGTAATAATAATAATAATAAAAAACGCCTGGCACTTAATTAACGCAAATGACATATAGATCATAATTCGCAAACAATGAAGATAAAACTGTAATACATNACGGACATTCGAAACAGACTGAATACTCGGCTAAATACCAACTAACTAAATACTCCGGAATGGAATTAAAAAAATAAGTTTAAAATAAAATTAAAAAAACAGAACAAGAAGCAAAAAAAAAACAAAAAAACAATAATACTACTACTACTAATAATAATGATATAATAATAATAATAATAATAGTAATAATGATAATAATAAACAAAACAAAACGGGTGCTAATCCAGAGCAGTATTACCATTGTGTAAGATAAATGGTCCAGTTGAAAAGTAATAATAATAATAATAAAAAAAAAACGCTTGGCACTTAATTAACGCAAATGACATATAGATCATAATTCGCAAACAATGAAGATAAAACTGTAATACATCGCACGTTTGCGGATGACATGTGGAACATAAGGATGCATCTGGTTTTATGGTTAATTTGAAGCTGAACACAACAAACTAATAGTCAGTGAAGGAAGATATAACTGCGCTATTATATTTTTGCATACTATTCAAATTGGTAGTTCAGTTCCTCAGCTTATATTCCAGCGTTGAGATGTACGGTGTAAACATTATCGTCGCTCTTTTAGTTTTGGGACAATTTCATGCTTCAGTAACAGGTGAGAATGAAGCGATCGCTCTTTTTCTTTTGGTTTTAATTTTGGAGTATTTTAAACTAATTTTACATTTCTTTATCTTGTTTCTCCCGTTTCGCTGCTATTTCTTTATCTTCAAGAGAGTTATGAGTTTTGTTTTTCCTTTGCCGTCTAACTAAACGCTTCATGAAAATCTTAGAACGATGGCACCGTTTCCACAGTTTGGCTTTGTACCGCTTACAGCACGATTTTTTTTTTTTATCTTGTGTAGGTCGATCGTTAGAACTTGAAAACGATTCTCCGTGTTTTCCAAGCCCTTGTTTTCAGGGCCAATGTCGATCCAGGACTCCAGGAGAAGGTTATGGTTATATCTGTCTGTGTCCTGAAGGTTTCTTTGGAGATAAGTGTGAAAAGAGTAAGTAATGTATTTTCTTTCTTATATCTTCTATTTTTGATCTCAACCCTTGAAGGGGAAAAAACAAAACAAAACAACAATTATCGCTGCATACGTAATTATATGTTTGCCAAAAATTAGTTCATGACGTTGTTCAGTATATTACGACTCATTTTTACCTTTTGCTTTAAAGTGCACCTAACCCCAACTTTTTTTCCCTAAAGCGAATTTACTTATTATTTGAAATACCTCTGCGAAAACATTTTTGGATTCGGTTAAATCCTCGATTTTCTGTGCCCCGCCGAAATCTCGAAAATAGCTCCAAAAAACCGCCATTTTGTTTCGCGACCGAGTTTGAGGAAAATTAATGGGTCCAGCGGCTGTTGTGACGTCTACTCAGGAAGGTTGAATACCGTTATCTCACGTCCTCTCATTTCCTTCAGGATGGTGCAATACATATTCGAAAAGTGCACAGAAACGCCTTCCAGAAGTGCTATCAGCTGTTGCAGCAACATCCCAGAATTAAAGAAAGGTATACTGTACAATTTACTGGCGATGACCGGTCAATGGTACAAAAAAGAAGTGAACGAGGTTTGATTTTGTCGAGCCGAAACAAGCGAACTGAGTCCGTTAGAACCATTAAAGAACTCTCACTGGAATTTGTTCCGCAGACTTTCAAACGCTATTTTTAAAATTTTCTGCTTAAAGCCAACCAGCAATTTGTAGAAGTACTATCGACAACCTATATCTTCCAATCTCGCAGTATTTATAACATAGCCCGCAAAGTTGTGTGATCGATCAAGAAGCGTTTATAATACGTCCAATAAACTGATATGTAAATAGGTCGCAGCTGTAGGCCGCCAACCAACACTTATTTCTCTTTCGATTTAGATAAAAGTCGAAGATTAATCCTTTAGAATTACATAATAACAAAACTGTTAGACTCACAGAGCTTTTCGAAGGTTTGGAAATCAGCAGTGCGCAAACATTCTGTGCAATAGTGTCGAAATTATGACCCCTTAACATTATCTGCGAACCGCTTAGGGAACACATCCTTTTCGCTTAACCGACGAATTTCGCTGCAAACTTTGAGAAAAATTTACATTGGTTATTTGGAGTTACGACTTAAAACGTGTGATAATGTGAAATCGGTAACTGTATGAAATGCTTCCCACAACTTCAAAAATACAGGTCCAAACAATTCTAAGATTTTCAATCGATCGAAGCCAGTGTTTTGGAGGTCATCAAGTCTCGAAAACTGCAACGGTTACGTCGCTCTTGTAAACATGAAGCATTCCAGAAAGTAAAACACAAACTGGATTTAATAGAACAACCATACCTTGACAAATTACATTCTCGCTGAGGACAAATGTAAACGGGCTATAAACACGCGTGGGAATCTTGTGTTTAGGTGACGAAATTACCTTCCAAAGCAGTCCTTGAGTTTTCTTTACTGCTTTTCGTTTGCCTGCTCCTCCACTTCGTATCTAGCTTTCCATTCCTAATATACAAGCAGCTCGTCCGCAAAGAAGTCTTCCCCGTCGTCGCTTGAAATATTGCAAATTGCTCTCAAAGCTCTAAGCAGTGAGTTCACAGTTGTCGAACGTACTTACTCGATCGAAGTTTGTTTCGGATTCTTCCGGATGGACTTAACTCTGACTCCAGTGACGAGAAAGAAATGATTCTGAAACAAAACTTGGACGTTTTAGCCCCAAAATATACTGGAACGATTAGTTTTGTTTTCCATTTTCTCGAGCAAATACAGAGAGCTGACTGAGGCGCCACTGTGGTTGGTTCCTGGGTAGACGTCATAAGCAACAGCCGCTTCAGACTCCCTAAAACGCAGTCGCGCAACACTTCAAGCGCGACTTTGAAAGGGCATAGAAAATCGAGGATTCAACCAAATTCAAAAATTTTTTCGCCCAAATGCTTCGAACAACAGGTGAATTCGTTTTAGCGAAAAATATATATATATATTTGGGGTTAGGTGTACTTTAAACAGTTCTCTGCTTCATATGAGCAAACTCTGAGAAAGTTCCCCATTTAAAAGAAGTTTGAACAAGTGTCTTTATTTGTAGATCCACTAAAACAACGTCTTGAAAGACTTATAATCGACATATCTAACTGTGCAATTTGATGAGTCACTGATGAGTTTAACTGAGGCAGAAAATAAAGCGGAATATAGTCGAAATATCCTCAGATCTCCTTCCGAATTTCTTCAACGTCTTCAGAAAACTTCCTCGATATTTGAAAATACACAAACTGTTGGAAACACAAATATATTTTGAAATTTTTTTTAATAGTCATAATAGTCAGGGATACCCTTGACTTACTTTTGAGCATCTCTAACTTTGTTCTTCTCTGTAGGATGTGAAGATTTGAACCTACAATGTCCGGAATGGGCGAGACGTGGTCAGTGCACTAAAAATCCAATCTGGATGAAGTGTAACTGCAAGTTCAGCTGCAAGCAGTGCTAAGTGTTGAAGGTAACTATCTCTGTTACTTAACCCTGTTTAGATGGGAATAGGGCGGGCTAGGCCTGCACGATTTTATGACAGTCATCGTTATGATCATGGTACTTTGTAAGTCATGTGTGTGTGTTTTTATTTAAAAATTTATAGCTTTCATGTTACGCGAGCACGTCTTTAGTTTTTAAATCCCTCCGATTTAAAGAGCGTCTTCGAAGAGCTCCATTTTCGCAACGATTTAGTGTGGACGGTAGGCCTAACTGTAGAAATAAATTGAAGCTGTTGTTTTTAAATTTCTCTGGCGTAGTGTGGACGGAGCCCTTAGTCTATTTCTCTTCTCTTTCCGCCTAAAAGTATATGTGCAAATGCTGTTTGAAGCTTCCACAAAAACACTCTATTGAGTTAAACATCTTATCATAGAATGCGTCACCGTCTACATAAATAGTGATCATATACAATGTTTGTTGTGGGACCTCATGTTTAGAACTAATGCTGAAAGAAAAACGTATGGTAACTAAGGTAATTAAGTAAGGTTAACTTTATAACGTATTAAGCTTGAAATGAGGGCTAAAGGTTGATCATGGTCAGAGAGTTATTTCTTTTGAAATAGATAATAGTGATAGTAATTTTTATGATCTTTTGATATGTTGCAGTTGAAGAGCAAGATCATTCTGCTACAGAGGAAATAAATTAAAGAAAAATAAAATAAAATAAAAACTCATTAATCGAGTTGATTTTCTAGTGATATGTTATGTTTATTTTAATTTCGTCTTAATTTTAGAGGAGAAAATTGCCCCGTGCTATTACGGAGAATGCACAAAGAGCTCTCTCCGAGNAAAAAAAAAAAAAAAAAAAAAAAAAAAAATTGCGCCGGCTAAAAATGGTTGAATTACTAGTATTAATAATTCTCTTCTTCCCTGTTTTTGTTCCTTTCAATCATCCCCCTTCCCCTCTTACTCCCATGCCGTCAATAAAACCGCGAAAGATAATTTTACCGCTTGCTTGCATTAACTGTTAAGAAGGCACGAGTTATTAAAACGGGTTTGTTATAATTTTACTTTAAGCTCTTTTTCCTCGGTTTGGTGAAATAATCAAACATCTGTGTCACCTTAGTTATTGAACGGTTGAAAATGACGGAGAGCCATAGCCTGACGGCATTTGAGTAAAGTGAGAAATTTTCAGAATAAATCTTAGGCTGAAATTTTGAAATGACTATAGTTTTGTGCGTTGAAAATTTTAATTACAATGTATTTTATAATTTCATATTTTTAACAGCACTAGTCTTATGTTCGGTGCTGAAATCATTACTGCAAGAAGTAATACGCTATAATCTAAGGATATTGGAATAATATGGCTTGAGTATCAGGCTTTTAGAAGGGATGCATTTTCGTCCACAAAGGGAGTATCATACTTCATCATTATTCATGAATTTTTGGCTTAGTTATAGGCAGGTGACATTTTGTTTTTACTTTTTACGTCTACCCTTTTTCAAGAAAAGAATTGCCCATGAAATTAAAAAAAAGATTAACTTTAAAAGATTTTATTGACCAAAAATGGCACCAAGATTTCCATACTTAAAATTCTGTGGATTGCTTCATTTCCGTTGCCATGGAAGAAAATTGCAGGTTTGTTTACTCTGACATCCCAATTAACCCACGCGCTCCGCGTCGGAACGGGACGGCCCCTTAAATCTTATAACAGCTTTTTACGTTTTCTGGCAATGCAGCCTAGGCGTAATCAAACCTAGAACCATTGAATTTACCGAGAAGTAAGCTGAAGACTTACTTTCCTTTTATGATACCTTCAAAGCATAATTTCGACGGGTGCACACCCGAGTGAATCAGCTTCTTGTTAACGCCTTAATCCTTCATGGCTTGCCTTTATCATTTTAGTTTATCATTTTAGTTTCATTTTAGTATCATTTAGTTTCTGCAGGCGTAATTAGGGGTGGAAAATTTAAACATTATATTTGGTCATAAGGATCACCGAAATAACTATCCATCTGTATCGATTATTTTCAAAAATCCAGATTTTGCGTTAAGTACATACCAAAACGTTTATTGCTTTCAATATATTCGCTACATTTATATTAATCTACCAGGCTGGCTTTTACTTATATACCATCAGTCCAGCTGACGCGCACAGTTTGCTTCGACGCAAAAGTTAGTTTTTTGATCGTTGGCGTATTATTATGTTGAAGAAAATATTATTACAATTATTATTATTATTATTATTATTATTATTATTATTACAATTATTATTATTATCATTATTATTATTGTTGTTATTATTTGTATTATTTGTATTATTTTTTCTTAAATCCGTCTTAAAGTTATTCATTCATATGCATGCGACTATTAGAAAATTTGAAGGCAAGAATTCTCAAGACTATCATCACATGGTCTAAAATGGGGCAACAAACCGCCTAAGCTAAAAAGACCAATTTTAGAACAAAAGCTAGGAAGGAAATTGTTTTCAAGAGTGAATCTTGCTGAAAAATAGCACCCGCCACGTTAATGGTTTAAGTGTTTTTCTCCCTTTTAGAACAGTTTATTTTTAAGTGTCATTATTACTTTATCTTTAGGAGTAATTGTCTGTACGAAAAGAGAAGACCAAGAAGCGTATAACAAAATATCATCAACATCGGATGTGAAAGGACAAGAACGTCCTATGAAGAGTGAAATCGAATGAATCCCAGGGCATTTTTTAGGACGGTATCGACGTCTCTGTAACATATAATATGTCAATTTTTTTTTTTTTTTTCAATTAACGGCTTTTAAAACACATAATTTTTCCAAGCAATAAGCCTCTTGAAAAGAGTAGACAGGAGCCATAATCGGGGACGGAGACCGTAAGTCTTGGGATCCGCGCGCACCAGTGATATGGGACAATTTTTCTATTTTTAGAACAAATTGCGCCATCCTGACGTCATATATCCGCGCGGATCCTCGCACATGTCGGGGGCTCTCGCGTGGATGTTGCCACGTTGCGTGATCAAATGGTGAGAGTTGAGAGACCTTGAGGTATTATCTTGCGTATTTTTCACAGCGATGGCAGGGAATAAGGCAGGGAATACGAACCAGGGCGCCTATATGTAGTTTTATGCTCTGAGCTAACGGAAAA